ATTTAGAAAAAAAAAAGCATTTTAGGGATGAATTCGAAAATGCAATGGTTGGAACAGCTGCTTCCCTACAACAATATTTTATATTTTCAATTGTCCTTTTCTAAATTGTTTTTCAGATTAAATTTTGTGAATTTCATTCTTTCCAATTTGTGTTGCAGATTATATTCTCTTCCCCTCTAGCCCAGTACAAACTTTCAGTCTTAACCAAAAAAAAAGGTGGTGCTAACGTTCAGCAGACCAATAGAAACGCGTTGTTGCTTCTCTCTCCAGAGGAAAGCCAGAAGTGATGGAATATGATCATTGAAAAGAACAGAATTTGTAAAACTCAATCTGAAAAATGGAATAAAAAAAAATACTATTTAAAAAATGAAAATATGAAAAATTTGAAAATAAACCAGCAAAGTTACTCTTAGAATCTTTTTTTTATTATGATTAAAAAACGTTCCTCCTGTTTCTCAGTTTGTCGCCAGTCCGCTCTGCTGCCCGAGTCGGGCCAGCATCCTGACTGGGAAATATCCCCACAACCACCACGTCATCAACAACACGCTGGAGGGGAACTGCAGCAGCACGGCGTGGCAGAAGAGCGAGGAGCCCCACACCTTCCCTGCTCTGCTGAATACCCATGGAGGCTACCAGACCTTCTTCGCAGGGAAATACCTCAACCAGGTAACCAGGTCTAAATGACTGACTGGGTTAAACGGTGTTCGTGAAAATGGTAAAAAGTTTGGGTTTTGTGGTTTTCAAAGGCGTTCTGCCATCATTCAGCACCACTATTAGAGAAATGTAAAAATCCTTTATTGCAGCATCCTGACATGGGCAATGTGGAGTCAACAAGTCATCTCCATGTCATGTATTTGTTCTACCCAGCCACTGAAGCAGGTGAGTCCAATCTGCACAACAAATTAACCTGTGCAGATTGGACTCACCTGCTTAAGTGGCTGGGTAGATTAAATACAGGACATGGAGATGACTTGTTGACTCCACATTGCCCATGTCTGGCAGCATCAGAAATCTTTAAACTGTATAAAGATTTAAGCTTATATAATTTGAGCACGTTCAATGGTTGAAAGACCAACATCCCCACATCACTACACATCTTCCTCCATACGTAACATTAAACATCAGGAACTTTTCTACATTCAAGTCTTTGTTTTACTCAACTTGGAGCGTTTGTTGCAGAGAAACTAATTTTGTGTCTCCTGACCAAAACTGACGGCTTTTGAAGCTCCAGTAGAGTTTAGAAAATTCCTCGTTTATGTTTGTGATAGTAGAAGATTAAATCCTCTCTTCAAACATTTGATGAAATTTCAAGTATAAAAAGGTCTTTTAAGCATTTCAAGATGTTTTTAACTCATACAAGGTTCTGACATCTGGCAAAAAAGAGGCCCTCAGTATCATAGATACTCCACTTTACCTAACAATGAGCATCAGGATCTTTCCTCCATACACAACATCAATAGGACTCTAAAAGTCTTTATTGCAAACTCAATAAGGTTGTCAAAAACCACCCCTGAAGCCAATGTCAAGACACTTGCACAAGTCCCCACTGCTGTTCTGTATAGGTCTGAACCCCCTCAGCCAAATAATCAAAAAGACTGGCTACGGGTACCGACTCAGGAACAGGGCCACCATCAGTCACCTGCTCTACATGGATGACATCAAGCTGTAGTGAGACATGGACTCACTGATCCATACATCCTACAGGGGATGTACCACCAAAACATAGCCGAAGTGGTGGATATAATATGTTAGGTAAAAGTGAAAAAAAGAACATGAGAAACTATAGAAATACCAGGAGCTCAGAGAAGAGCTGGAGGAAACCTGGAAGGTTAGGTGATACCCGTGGTCATAGAGGCACCCCTGGGGCAGTGACCCCCAAATATATCAGACATTTGGTCCAGAAGAGTTCAGTTCTACGAACAGCAAAGATACTGGCAGAACCCTTAAGCTGTTTTAGGGAAACATTAAAATAAAATGTGGAACTATATATTTAATATCAGTATTATGAACAATACTCTGACAGACTGTCTCTGTTTTTAGGTGTTGTGTCTGGCTGCAATGTTGTAAATATTTAAAGATGATATTAAAAAAAAGAGTCAATAGTGGATCTGATTATGAATCCTAAACAATTTTTCAAAAATTGTAATATTGTTAAAAAAAAAAAAAAGTTTGTTTTTCCACATTTTTCAGAAAGTGAAACCTGAATAGCAAATGACATTCATATGAGTAAATCACCTCTCCTTCCACACTTTTTCCTTCCACTAAACGCTTTATTTCCTTGGATCCAGCTTTCTGTGACCTTTAGTGATCTTCTAGACGTCGGTCCAGAGGGCAATAATGTTTCTTAGGATTGTTGGGCCTCCTGATCCAGACTGGGAGACCAGTCAGAGACTCAGGAAACCTTCAGAGGGTTTTCAGTTAATATCTAGTTATTCTGGGACATTCCATATTTCCAATTTTGAACTTCTTCACTATGTAAACCATAATCATTTATATGGATTGATTCATTATATAAAAGAATTAAAGACTATAAATATTTCATTCTGTCCACATGTGCTATTTAGGCAAATTATCCTTAATTGGTTCGTAAGTCAATCCACACATTAAGCGACACAGAAGCTCTTTCAAACTGGGAACCATTTCATTCACAAGTCACTGATATTGGTTCATTGATCATTTCAATCTGATTTAATCTACATTTTTCTATCTACGTTCCTCCAATGTCTTTTCCTTTTTGTAACGACCTGGAAGAACCCAAACACGTCTGTCTGGTTTATGTCTTCCAGTATGGACACTCTGGTGCTGGTGGAGTGGAGCATGTTCCTCCAGGCTGGAGCTACTGGGTGGCACTGGTAAGACTGGGAGTTCAGCCTCAGAGGAAGAGGTCATCCAAATATATTTAAAGGGATATTTTTTATTTTGCAGGAGAAGAACTCTAAATATTATAACTACACTCTGTCTGTGAATGGGAAGGCTCAGAAACATGGAGCAGACTACAGCAGAGACTACCTGACAGATGTGCTGGTGAGACGCCTCATCAGCAGAACCCTTTAAATAATGTTTCCAGTTTACTACTGTGATTAATTTACCAGTTTCTGATGTTTCTTTCTCTCCAAGGCCAACAGATCTTTAGACTTCCTCCAGTATAAATCCAGCTACCAGCCGTTCTTCATGATGGTGTCCACGCCAGCCCCCCACTCCCCCTGGACCGCAGCTCCTCAGTACCAGAACCGCTTCAACGACACCAAGGCCCCCAGAGACCCCAGCTTTGATGTCCATGGGAAGGTGACTTTTAATGTTCAGCTGAAACCAAACGTTTTCATGTACCGTAGAAAGTAGGTATGGAAAGCCAAATGTGACACATTAAATAGTGGAAACAACAGTTAAAAATGAAAAAAGATTTCAGTGTGACCTGAAATGCATGCATCCAATTAAGTAAGCTTTCTTTAATTTAATTGTAGAACAAACTTTTTTTTTTCATCTCTGCCACACAGACTGTTTCTATTGCTACAAGAAAGTCGGTCATCATGTCTTAGACTGTAAACTGATCTGCAGCCGACGTTTTAAAAGTGCTTTAGAAGTTAAAAATTTTAAATGTATTTAAAAATATACATTTTAATCATGACTGAAAAATATTTTATTGGAAATGTTGTTAGATTCCCTGTTGATCGGTCAATTAAGACTTCAGTTTAGATTTATATTTCTAATTTAAGTTAAATCATGACGATGAATAAATAAATAGGGTTTTTTATTTTGGTGGGGAGTCACAAAATATGAACTTATGAACAGTTTCTTAGAGAGAGGGGGAGGAGCTCAGTCATCCGGGGAGGACTCAGAGTAGAGCTGCTGCTCCTCCACGTCGAGAGGAGCCAGTTGA